GCAGTAGCCCCACAGAAAGGGTTAATAACATTTTAACCGGAGTTCTTCTTTAACTATTAACACAATGTATCTTATTTGTGTATCACTAATCTATATCCTCAAATCATCTCTGAATTCATGCTGACACTCTACTTCCTTTTGGAGGGGGGCTACTTTTGTTGCCCATGGATGGTCCCTGTGTGTGTTGTAAAGTAGCCACCAATCCAAGCTCACTCCCGTGAGGGACTAAAATCTCAATACAAATTAGTGAACTAAACATGAGATTGTAGTCCATCACAGGAGTGAGCTTGGAGCGGTGACTATTTTACAACACACACAGGGACCATGGGGAACAAAAGTAGCCACCCTCCAGAAGGAAGGACAGTGTCAGCACCAATTCAGAGATGATATGAGGATCTACAGCTGAGTGATACACAAATAAGATACATTTTTGTTAAAAGTTAAGGTGCCTGAGGCGTTAGACTGACAACCAGCATATTGTTAAAGGAGAACTATGGGGTTAGGGCTTGGTAGGACACAAACTAGCTTCCTCGCGGTATACTGAGACGCCGCAGCCGGAACGGATCCCGACAATTGTGTCTGGATCCACCCAGCTGAGTGAGTGACAGCTGTCTCTGCCTATCTAGAGGCAGAGCCAGCTGTACCCGCCCCCTCCCCCGTCTGTTCTGCCAGTCAGCGCTGGATGATCGGACAGCCGAGGGGGGAATCCAGTCCCTTCCCTGTCACGGCTCTCTGCCGGCACAAGATCGAGAAGTGAGCGAGCGCCGATATGTGTTCGCTCACTTTCCGATCTACTGAGCCGACCTGTGACAGTTTCATTGTCACAGGTCGGCTCAGATTATGAGGCTGAGTGAAAATCAAACCCCCACAGTGGCGTCATACATTCGGAGATATCTGTGAATGTAATGATTACAAGTCCCATCTAGGGCTTTCAACTAACGATTATTTTCATAATCGATTAGTTGGCTTATTATTTTTTTATTAAATACCATCGGTAATTTAAAATAAAATACACAAATGCAGTGTTATAAACATAAAGTTTACTTCAGAATAAAACTGCATGCACAATTTTGCAATTGCACTGCACTGGAATGGTGCATTGCAATCGGCATTGCATTGGCATTGCGGTATCGCGCATTCCGGTACGGGCAATCACACTGCGGGTGGAGGCACAACTGGGGTGCCATTGAATTGAATGACACCGCAACACACCTTCCGCACCGGGCAACTTTATTTATGTTTTAACTTTTTTTAAACTATTTTTCAAATGGTTTTATTTTTACTTTATTGTTAGGGGCTTTGGGGACATATCACGGGTCTAAACAGACGCCTGATATTTCCCTTTTGAAATAAAAAAGGAGAGTCTTCAATCTCTTTTTCTGCAGCCCCAGCACTCAATGAACAGGAAGCATTCACTACAGAGGCTTCCTATTCATTCATAAATGGAGGACATACCAGATACTCACAATCATGAATCAACAGGAAGTGATGTAGAGCACTTCCTCTTTGATCATAATTGGGGACACAGTATCTGAATACTATGTCCTAAGTTATATACAAGCATCGATAAATCAGTACTGATCACTGCGGTATTTGTTCTCCACAGGGAAGGATCGGCAAGAGCTCCAGAGTGGCGGGAGTAGAGCCGATGCGGCAGCAGCAGGGAGGTTGGGGGGAGCTCTTCTCACCACTGGGCGGCGGCTGCAGGGGTCTATGTTCCCTCCGATCCCTGCTGGGAGCAGCAGGGATCGGAGGGGATTGAACCCAGATCAACTAATCAATAATGCGAATTGTTGACAACAATTCTCATTATCAATTACTAACAACAAAATCGATTAGTTCTTTCAGCCCTAGTCTCATCTGCTGCTGTGGCAAAGGGACTCACAAAACTCAAAGGTGTACAAGTGTGGTGATGTCACAGCACTTGTAGTCCATTGATCACTTCCTCCAACCCCATACCTCTCAGGATGTAAACAATACAGGAACCTGAGCATTGCACCTATTGCAACCGCACTGAATGTGGCTGCAAAACTCTGCAGGCTGCAATGCAAAAATGTAGTAATTTTATTTATATAGTATGGATACATTTATTACATTTTGGAAAAGGTTGACTATGTCTTTAACTACAATAAATATAGCTGTGATAGGAACCGAAGCACGCACAGTCTCATATCCACAGAATAAAATGTATACTTTGCCATTATTTCTTTATTATATATAAAATGAAATAAATGATGTGTAGGTTGCATGTTACAGTGAGGTTATCGGAAAATACAAGTGCTGCGTGAATGAACTGCAGGCATTTTACAGACACAAAACTCCATAGCCTGGGGCTGTCCCTGTACTCCAGGCAGTACAGGAAGTCTGCGAGTTCAGAGATCTCAGGATAGGAGCCACACACAATGCCAGTCGGACACAAAGAATCGGTCCTATGTTCCCGGCCGGCCAGGCAGAGAGGTCGCACTCCGCTAGAGGGCGCTGTCGGTGTTCTGTGGAAAGAGCCAATTCAGGCTCTCCGGGATGGTGATGGTGGTTGTTTGGTCCCCAGAGATGGGCGCTCCTGTATAGGACATCCTGGGGAGGGATTGCCGGGATCACGTTGTTCCAGGTTAGGTGGTGCTGATCACCGGGGCCATGTATTGTTCTTCTCCGGTGCTCATCCTCCAAACTGTCCGTTATCAGAGCCCTGAGGGCGGTGCAAAGTTATTCCTGCACCAAGCAGCATGATGCTCCATGCCATTGTGTGGCCTAGGAGTGATTTCTGGGTGAATGTTGTATGTGAGCCCTCAGGCTTCCTTTGTACAGGTATACTGTTTATAGTGTCAGATCATCAGCACAATGTACTTTTATAAGGTTTAAATGAGATGTAAACAAACCCTAAGTCCCCGTTCACACCTAAGCGTGGTGGGAACGTGTATCATGCATGTTTGCTGCGCGTTGCCTATTAATTTCAATTGGTTCCTGCACGCGCAACAAATGTAAAAAATTCTGACATTTTAACGTGCTGGAAAACAATGCATTTGCCTGGCCGCGTTTAGGGTGTAATGGCGCTACATGCATTTTTTTTACTCAAAGCGTGCGTTGTTTCCTCAGTTTGGGGAGGGTTCACGGAACACTGAGGTGTGGACGGGTACTGAGAACTCCTTCTAACAGGCGGTTGGGCTGCAGTGTTAAGAAGCTGCCTAACTGGACGTTATGTCCACATACAAGCTAAACGAGTAGCTGCGTGCAGTTTGTGTGCGTTCAGAACCGCCATCCCTGGACACAACACAATGGGCGAAATTAACAGAGGGTTGAGATGAAAAAAATTGTTGCATTTTCTGCACACCAAATTTACAGCGTTCTAAGATGAGTTCTATGTGGTATTGTACCAGCTGCGTCAAATTGCGTTAAAAGTGCTCTGTGACAGTTTCTATAAATGTCTGATTGCGTGCGCCAAAATAATGAAGCGCTTGTGCCAATATTCTACTTTATCAACTGTGAATGTAACAGACCAAATGTGACCATAGAAGGGCAATGATGTCACCAGCATCCCACCCCTTTGTTTACGTGGAACTGCACAGCTGGGAATACCCTGGCCGCAGATGATTGACCCGGAAATATTGGCCTGTTGTTTTTTTTGGGGGACCATTTTTAGATTTCAGTTTCTCGTTATTGTTTTTTGGAACGGCCACTTGAAGTCTCAATGGTAAGCTCGTGTGACAATGCTGGAGCACTGTTGGGAGATGGAGACAAATTGTTGTTACCCTATAACAGGAAGTTCTTTTCGTCCTGGTGTAATGAGACTGATCATGTGATGGAGGCAGGTTGCCCCTCCTGTTGTAAATACCGGGCACAGGAAGTGACAACTGTTTTACATGTAGCAGAACAGGAGATGCTTAAGGTCTTCTCATCTATGGCATGCTGAGGAGATGTCTGAGCACATACAGTACATATGCTTCCTTATCTGTGTGACGCAGAGGTACAATCACACCAACTGTTTGGAGAGTAAATGTTCTGTCTCTGTTGCTCTTGGAGTGTTCCGCTCACTTCCTGTGTGGTAAAATGTTGTCAGCAGGACAGAAAGTTAGGGTAGAAGTTTCTAGGGCCCTGTTCACACCTAGGTGTGAGCTTAGCTAGGTGATGTAGAAGTGTTTTTTTCGTTTGTGTGCGTTTTTTATGTGCGACTTGTATTATATGTGTAAAAAAGTCAAGGCAACTGGACTTGCTGTATTTTTCTTGAAGACGTTTCACTGGTCATCCAACCAGCTTTCTCAAAGTCCCTCTAGTGGAGTGCAACCTCTGCCTGGCTGGCCGGGAACATAGGACCAATTCTTTGTGTCCGCCTGGCATTGTTTATGTGTCCAAGCACCTAACCGATCCCACCTAGGACCTAACCGATCCCACCTTGCCCCTGCACAGATGCATACTTACCGAGTTACAAAGTGCCCAGCCTCTGTTGTTTGTTAACATCCCACTATGAACGCCTGCCTGTGACTTGTATGAGACCTTCTCCCAGTCGGGAGATAGAGGTAAATGAGCCCCATAGAACTCGATGGGAATTTCCTACATCGGCAGGGCCAGGACTGGAACCCCTTTGCCACAGGATGTACGCATACAGCCAGGTCTGTTGGAACTTGGTAAGTACATAACTGTGCAGGGGGAGGTTGAGATCTGTTCGGTCAACTCAAAGGGGCCAAAAGGATAGGTGCGTTTTGTTTTAAAGTCTACGTATCCAATAAATTCTATGGGGCAAAAAAAACCACATGATTCTGTCCCAAAAGCTCATATACTTTATTGAGCATCACGCGACAGTCTGAAAGCGACACGCAACTCAGGCGTGAACCAGCCCATTGAGAATATTGACAAAACGCTCACCTGTGAATGGGGGCTAACGAAGCCCCTTGTATCAGTAAAAACCTGGTTCTAATGTTTCCCCACTGTATCCAAAACTAAAAAAGTTTTGGCTTCACATAAACTAACACTTTTGTGATCTGTTCTCCAGCTCCGGCACTTCCACCATGGCTTCCAAAGGCCAGCCCGTTCGTGCAGAAGAGACAGCTGTGCAGGTAGCTGTCAGAGTCCGTCCATTGCTCCCTAAAGAAGTGCTCCATGGACAGCAGTCTTGTGTCCACATTGACCCCGACAAGCAAAGTCTAACTCTGGGCACCAACAGACACTTCCACTTCAAGGATATTCTGGATGAATTGTGCAGCCAGGAGACGGTGTACAGCTGCTGTGTGCAGCCTTTACTTGAAGCTTTCTTTCAAGGGTTCAATGTCACTGTAGTAGCGTATGGGCAGACAGGATCAGGAAAAACGTACACCATTGGAGAGGCAAGCATATGTGAGTATGTCAGTTGTCACCACTAACCATGAACCTTTTTTTTTCTTATTTTTGTCATACTTAATTATTAGCACTCACTTATTACACTTTCTCAGGGTTTTTATAGTAAACTTCTCATGGTGGAAATATTGCAACTGTCATTGTGTCCTCTTTGTGCCAATGCTGCTTGTCTGGCATTGACGGGGCTCAGTACTTCTTACCGTGTTTCCCCGAAAGTAAGACCTACCCCGAAAATAAGACCTAGTGCTATCTTCGGGGATTTCTGTAATATAAGACCTACCCCGAAAATAAGACCTAGTTCGGGGTAGGTCTTATATTACAGACATCCCTGAAGATAGCGCTAGGTCTTACCTTCGGGGTAGCTGCACATGTAACTAGATTTTACATGTGAAGACCGGCCGCAGCTCCCTCCCACCCGCTCGCCCGCCCACCTACCCGCATGCCAACCTATCTGTTGCTCTCTGCATGGCATCAGAGCGGAGAGGCAGCTCCCTCCCGCCCCCCTGCAATGGACCCAGAGCAAGCTTGCAGCAAATTAAAGAAAGAAAATTGGCATTTCTTTTCTCTGTAGTTTTTTTTTGTCAGACTTAGAAAGTAGTAAATCCAAAGCATCAGTGCGGCAGCCTGGAGACAACATATTCAGAAGAAGAGGTCAGCAGTAGCAGTTCATATATTTGGCTCCTGACAATGTGCTTTTAATTATGTAGTAAGAAGTGGACTTCAAACAGTTGAACAATGTATGTATTTTTAAATGTAATAAAATGTCATGATTTGTGGTTCTATTATAATTTTGAGGTCTAAACACTAAAATGATGCTTTAAATGGATGCAATATCTAACCAACCGCTGCTGGCAAATACACATTTACATGTCATGAGTGACATGTTATGTATTGTCTTATAGTTGGAAGCACCATATTTAGCTGGAGGATAAACAAGTATCACCAAGTTGTTGTCTGACCAACACAGTGGTTACAGGATGTATATGCATTGTGGCTGAAATTCTGCCCAGTGTGTTCCCACCCATGTCATGCCAAAATGCCAGCAGGGCAAAGAGATCTATTTATACCAGCAACAGACACTAGGCAATGTTATTTTAAAATGGTAATTGTGGGAAATGTTTCTTTTTTGTATACTGATTTTCTGTTATGCATCATAAACATTTGTGGGATTCAAACATGTACGGATAATACTGTAACTACATAACAGGCTACATACAGTTAGGAACGTGCTATTGTAGAATTCTGATGCAGCTTATAGAGATGCATGATTATCCTTTGAGTGTCAGGAGAAGTCAAATACCTGGCTCTTGGATTGTGTCATGTCAAATATATCTGCTTTATATTATTGGAAATTACTGGGCCACTTTAGCAGCAAATTGTTACTGCAAGAACCTCTGTGTGATACTCAGTGCCCACACTGCCAGAACTGCTACACTGCCACAACCAGTGCTTCCAGTAAATAAAACATGTTAACTATTTTATGACTAGAAGTCTTTTATGCCTAGATCCCCTGCACTGGCTTCCAATAGCCCAAAGGATAAAATAAAAAATATTAACAACCACTTGCAAAGCCATCCACAACTCTGCCCCCGGCTATATCTCAAACCTTGTCTCAAAGTATAACCCTAACCTTCCCCTCCACTCTTCCAAAGACCTCCTGCTTTCCAGCTGCCTCATCAACTCCTCCCATGGTCGTCTCCGGGACTTTACTAGAGTCTCTCCCATCCTCTGGAACTCTTTACCCCACCCTGTCTGTCTATCTCCCACTCTGACGGCCTTTAGGCGATCCCTAAAGACTTATCTCTTCAGGGAAGCCTATTCACCTCAAACTAACCACTGAACTATCACTTTCTCAATCAATTCATCCCCACACAGCTACCTCCTCATGTATCACTTGCCCCTCCCTTTTAGATTGTAAGCCCCCCAGGGGCTGGGCCCTCCTTACCATTTTGTTTTCAATTGTATTGTAACTGTAATGTCTTCCTTATATTGTAAAGCGCTGCGCAAACTGTTGGCGCTATATATATCCTGTATAATAATAATCCCCAAACATATTTAAAGAAGAACTCTGGGGAGATACAATCTTAACCCCTGCACTGCAAGGATTAAGTGCTAGTTTTTGTCTAGGGTTAAAAAGAAAAAGTTATAATCATTGAACCTTGGAGCTCTTAGACCAGTCCCTTATATTCTGTTACAACCACCGCTTTATGTATTTGCACATACCTTCCTGAGACTTGTCTGTACGGACAGTATGACAACCTACAGACTTGGTGATATTCACAGATAGTGTCCAACTCAATAACTCTTGACTCAGAGTAGAATCCAATGTATTTTATTTACCATGTCAATACAGAGGACGTGATTCCTTGTCATTCTTAGGCCCCGTTCCCACTGCGCGATTTGCATATTGCGCGACATCGCGAGATGTGCCACGCGATATCGCGTTCAAGCTTCATTGAGCAAGCTTGAATCGCGGCTAAATCCGCTCCAAAAAGGGTCCTGCTGTAGCGACACACGACCCGCGACAGCAGGACCGTTTGCCCCATTGAAATGCATTGGAGCGCGATATCTTGCCACGATATCGCGGGAATTACCGTGCGATAAATCGCTCAATGTGAACGGGGCTTCAGAGTGAAAATACATTCCTATCTTTGCCATTAACAGGATAACACAGACCCCCTTACTTTTCAGAGGGTGGTGTGGAAAGAAAGATTAGAGAGCATTGCTGGGAAGTTTTAGCAGAAGACTGTATACCAATATACAGAAAACAGCAGGGGTGAGACTGAAGATACCATGTATGCACAGATTAAGCTGTAACAATGCTAATCTTACAGTAGTAGCTAGAAATACAGCATAACACAATGAAATGCAATTATATAGGTATGACACTGGATGTGGCAGCACACCTTCTGTCTTGCTCCTCATCCTCTGCAGCAGTCTAAGGTCCCTGAGTCATCACATCCTATACACAGTGTATAGGAGGTGGGGACACCAAGGGACATAACATTGCAGGAGGGGAGGGCAGGCTGGAGTGAGCGCTGTCACAACCTGCTGTATCTGAGGTTCGGGTGAGTATAACTTTATTTATGAACCTAGATACAAATGAGCGCTTAACCCTTGCAGTACACGGTTAGCCCCACTGCAAGGGTTAAGAACTTTTCCCCTAAAGTTCTGCTTTAAGCTATGTCAGCTAACTTGACATTTTTACTTAGTCATTTTTATATATTTTAAGGACATATAAGAATGTAATTGCTATATTGTTTTAATAACAACTCTAATCTGATTTTTGTGTTTTTATTTTAGGCTGACAAATTTGTGGAAATGTATCAGCCTATAATAAAGTTTTATTATGGAAAATTTTAGGGCTGGTAATGATTAAAATTTTCCTGTTCGATTAATGGGAAAAAAAATTAATCGATTATTCGACTAATTTCGATTAAATATAATGCACATACAGAGGGGGGTCTCACCAGAGCTTTGAGGGGGCCTCACCAGGGTAGCAATGCTCTGTGGGGTCTAACTAGCCTTGTTAGACCCACAGAGCCCTGGCAAGATCCCACAGAGCCCTGGTCTCACCAGGGCTCCATGGGGTCTCACCATGGCTTTGTGGGGTCTCACCAGGGCTCTGAGGGGGTCTCACCAGGGTAGCAGGGCTTTTACAGGGTAGCAGGGCTTTTACATTTTACTGTTTTACATGATACATATTATTTGTCTGTACAAACATCTGATGACTAATTTCTCAAATAAATTAACGATAAATCGACGGATTAATCGTTAATTTCCGCACCCCTAGAAAATTTTAGATTTAATATTTTTGTCTTTTAATACTGAAATTGTGTCTGACAATTACAAATATTAAACATATTGCACTGCAGATGGCGCTGAAGCCTGCCGGTGGCAGCATTCATCTGCAGGCTGAGGGCTTCTATTTTCTCAATGAAGCCTCCAGCCAGTAAGTGATCATTATGTCCTACATGAAGCTGAAGGATGGGAAGGGGTTAAATAGACTAACGCCTGCTAGTTAAATGGTTTCATTTATCTAATGTTTTCTTAAATTTTTTTTTTTCTTCCGTCTGTTCCCTTTTTTAATTGGTATTTTTTTAGCTTTCAAAATGCATTTTCCTGTGGAAATATCAAATGTCGCCACAGTCATTTTTAAGGGGTGGGGAGCACAAATGTGGGAATATTGAGCTGTAGGAGTTGTAATGGTAGTTATCTCTAGCACTTTTCTGTAACATATTTCCTTTCTCTGGCTATCTTCATAAGTACATCTTTACTCTTCAACTACACCTATAGTATGTCCACAGTTGCTGCAGCTCTCGCTTGTAATGGCAGTTGTCTCTAGCAGTCTCCTCTAACACATCGCTGACTATCTTCTGTAGTAGGTCTATACCTGTAGCATGTCCACAGTTGCTGCGTGTCTGGCTATCTTTCATAGGATGTACACAGTCTAAAAGACATCTCTAGTGTTAGATATACTGAAAATGATGTGCGTCCCTTTGCTGATGTCATGAGTGATATTTTAGGTCCCTTGTATCTTGCACAGCACTGAAAACAATGCAATTGTTTTTCATTGAATATATAACTATTGTCCAACTATTGTGTGTTAATGTAATCATTTTGTTTTATTTCAGCATCTATCTCAGAAGATGAGCAGGGTATCATTCCACGGGCTATGGCTGAAATTTTTAAACTGGTTGATGAAAATGATCTAATTGATTACAGCATCCGAGTGTCTTATCTGGAAGTCTATAAGGAAGAATTCAGAGATCTCCTGGAGGTGCAGACATCTAATAAAGACATCCTGATCAGAGAGGATGACAAAGGCAATGTTGGTGAGTTACAGTAATAGGATTCACCTTGTTTGAATCATGTTTTCCCACCTTTTTATATATGTATATATTTTTTTTATAATTGTATTGTAAGCACATGGCGCTTGAATAGCTTCAGCCAGGGAATGGCAGCTGCCAGTGGCAAGATTTTGCAGACGGCAGCTGAATGTAAATACAGCAGGTAGTGGGCCGGTGCAATAGCCAGCCTGCTATTGGCCATTTCAAATTGCAATAGACAATAGCAGGCTGGCTACTGCACCCGCCCACTGCTTGCTGTGACCTCCTCCCAGAGTGGAGGAGAGAGCTAGGGGATCCAACCAACTAATCGATTATGAGAATAGTTGTCACTATCGATTAGTTGGTTGCAGCCTTAAAGCTGGGTTCACATCTATGCGCTGTGGGAATGTGTTTTAGAGCAACACTCAAAATCATGCATGCTGTGCCTTGTGGTGCCTTTAATGTAAGAAGCCAATAAATGTTTCATTTAAAAAATGAATTGCAGATGTTTTGGGAACAGCATGCATCTGAGATTTTTAGTGTTGGGAGGGGAAAAAACTTGTTTCAACCTCCTTTTTCTTTTTTTCCAAGTGCTATGCGGTGTGAAGGAGACCGAAGTGGAAGGACTGGATGAGGTTCTTAGTTTACTAGAAGTGGGCAATGCTGCTAAACACACAGGAGCCACACAAGTTAATGCCCATTCCAGCCGCTCGCATACAATCTTCACTGTCACCATGGAGCAGAGGAGAGTCGTTGGGCGAGTCACCAAAATGACCATCGGGGACAATGGTCCTGCCCTTGATTTTGGTCAGGTTCTTTCTTCCAAGTTCCACTTTGTAGACCTGGCAGGGTCTGAACGGATATTGAAAACAGGCAACACTGGAGAGCGGCTGAAAGAAAGCATTCAGATTAACACTGGACTTTTAGCACTGGGCAATGTTATAAGTGCTCTGGGTGACCCCAAGAGGAAGAGCAGCCACATTCCTTACAGGGATTCCAAGATTACCAGGTACTACACAAGATGATAGTACAAGTGTGCTTCACCCTCATTCCCCACTTAATTTCTTGTTCCATATCAACAGATTTTGCCGGCGATGCAATCTATTGCATGGGAAATCAGATCTAGCAGCCTGTTCTCATTGCCAGAATGGCACACTTCTGAGCGCTCTTTAATTAGCATACTTATTTCCTTGCAGGCCAATGTAAATAGTGATATTCCATTTGCTATGGGGAGGTACCAGAGGAATTAGCCAGATTTGCCAACTAGAGGGATCTCAATTGGTGGCCACAATGAAAAAAAAAAAAGGTCAATTCCCATTAACTTCTTGTAATTAGCAATAATATAAAATATTAAAATGTGCTTGTTTATTCTTGCACGTGATGTTGCTTCCTTGGATCATGCACTTTTTAAAATACAGTCCAAGCAGTAAGCTCCCCTACTGAGTAAAAGAATGCATGACAAATGAAAAGGTGTTTCCCTTTTTATATGCAGAATATAAGCCCCTGACTAAAATGGACCAAACATCAGATATATTTTTCATTGCACGCATACATTTATTACCTCTCACAGAGAGATTGCATATTGATGTATA